CTCCATTGCCCCAATGGATCAATTCTAGAGGGGGTTCAAAATTGCCTTTAGAAGCCTAGGGAGTTGCCACCTCAGCATGACTTATCTCCCTTTTTCCTCTCATTTTTTTAAGAAGCTAACTATCCCCAACTTTCTCCTAAATTATCTCCATCTGTAATTCCTATTTATTATCTCCCCCACTTTTCATCTATATGTATCTAAATAAAGTTTCAATTAAAAACTTTAACAATTATTTAAACATTATAACGAAATTATATAATAATTTTAAAATATTTATTAAAAACATAAAAAATAATTATAATAGATTTAATAATATTCATATTATTAATAATTTTATATTTTTATGAAATTCATAACAAAATTATGTAATAACAATATAAATTATAATTTTATGGATTACTCAGTTAAATAATATTTTAAAATATAAATAAAAAATTATTTAAATGTTATTCAAATAATAAAAATAAAAATTAGAAAATAAAATATTATTTAAATATTTCAATAGCTAAATAATTGTATAACGAAATATTTAATATTAGGTAATAACTCTAAAAGAAATAAAATTTAAATATTTTACATATTACTAAAATATTTTAACATAACCAAATTTTAAATAGTTAAAATAATGAAATTATGTAACAAATTTAATACATTTCTTCATAGTAGAAAAATAATTATAATAGATTTCATAAYTTTTGAATTCATAATAATTTCATATTTTACAAAGTTAATAACAAAATTATGTAATAATAGTATAAATTACAATTTTGTGGATTATTAAATTAAATAATTAATTAATATTTCAAAATTTAAATAGTAATATTATTTAAATACTTAAACAATATTGTAAATAACTAATATTTAAATACTTTAAATATCCAAAAAATAATAATTAAATCATATTTTATATATTATTTCAAAAACAAAAATAGATTAAATAACGAAATCATGTTATAACTTTAAAAAATTATCAAAAACACAAAAATAATTATAATAGATTTAACAATATTTGATAATAAGAATATAAAATATAAATAATTTTTAAAAATAACTAAATAATATTAAAAATAACTAATTTTTAAATGTTTTAAATATAAAATAATTAATACTAAATCATATTTTAAGTATTATTTAAAAAGCAAAAAGAAAAAAAGATTACATAATAAAATTATGTAATAACTTTAAAAGTTTATTAAAGACAAAATTATTGGAGCGCTATTAGTTTTTTATTGTATTTTCACTATAATTTTTCAATAATTATTGAAGATTAAACTATTGTTATTTGCTAGAGATTAGACTATTAATTTAGTTGAAATTAAGAGTGTTCATTAGGTGGTTTAGTTCGGAAGCAAATTGTTTGGCCAACCAACTCGAGTTGTATCAGTAAATGTTTTAAAAACCAACCCAACAACCGACCCACTTTTGCATCTGGGTCGCGGTCATCGGTTCAACAGTCCTAGACGAATGGGTTAGACCATTCCACATCAACACTCTATATATTTATATACATATATAAATGTGCATATATGTATATGTGTGCAAATGCATATTTTATCAATAAATAGTGTATAATTGTGTTTTACATATAATATATGTATTATTTGATATCTTATTTATATTTTTAGTTCAATTTTAATTTTTTGTTTATAGAAATATTAAAAATTGCATTTTGATGATGAAAAAAGGGTTTTTTTTCACAAAAATAGTGAGGCAAAGCACCCACAACACCTTAGAACACATAAATCTTGAAACGTTACCCAAATCCAAATCCAAAAAAAAAAAAAAAAAAAAAAAAAACACCTAAAACAGACATTCGAGTGCAAAGCTATGGCCTCCAAAAGTTTGCACATGCATTAAGCATGTAACCTGTAACTCATTAATCGGATCAAACGGGTCAACAGTTAAACCCTCCAAGTTAGGTGGTTCAATAAAACTAGAATCAAAATCAATGTCAAGTGATGGTTTAAATGGTTCAACCGGTCATGTCAATGACAGGTTAAAAACATAGGTATCTTAAAAAATTAAATTACATTTAAAAAAATACAATGATATTACTAAAAAAATAAATTTAAAAATTTAAGTTTACAATATAAAATTTTAGACTAAGAAATATGGGAATTTTCCCACTTTCATGTATTAAAAATATATATTTATAATCGGGTCAGTTCAGTTTTGGTCGATTTATAAATAACCAAGCCAAAACTAACCTAACTTGGTCAGGTTGGGAAATTATTGAACCAAAGCTACTAGAAATACTAGAAAGTGACCAACTCAGGTCAAGTTGGGTCAGTTTCATCAGTTTAATAAACATCTCTAGATGAAATTAATTATTGTTATTTTTATATTACAAAAATAATATTAAAAATAATATATAAATTATAAATAATTATTAATTATTTAAAAATTAAATTATAAAACAATTGTCTACTCTTATGTATTTCTATTATTTAACTTTCACTTAACAAAGTTTGTCATCAGACAGGTCATGCTAGTTTCTTCTAAGGTCTAACCTTTGCCCTTATAACCCCTTCAACTTATAACAAATCAATTCTTATGAATGTTGTTGGACTTTTATGTCCTTAACCAAACTTTCTTCATCTACTTTCTCTCATTTTATCACACCTATTAGAATCACCCTTAAGGGCCTATTTGTTTCCTCTTAACTCTTATCTCTTAGGAGGAATCTTTTAACTTTAAGAGAAAAATGGTTGTTTGTTTCCTCTTATCTCTTATCTCTTAAAGTGCAATCATACAATTTTTTGTTTTCCAATGAGATTAAAATGGATATTTGATCATTTTCACAATGCATAACAACATTCTCTACATTCAAAATTCAAAGGAAAGAAAAATTCACCAATACCAATATACCTCTTAATGTAATTATTGCACTTTTAGCCCCAAGTTCCTACAAGTGATTTCATTTCTAATCAATCCCTTCTGCAAATGCATTTTTACCACTCATTTTCAAGACATGCCAACTGCTCAACACTCTTTCATGTAACATAGATGCAAGCCTTACAATGGTTTTATAGGTTTTCCTTTAAGTCATTAATGAATGAACAAACCGGATAAGTGTTATTGATCTAAAAAAAAAGAACAAACCGGATATATTAATGAAAATGGTGAGAGAAAGGGCCAAGGATTCAGAGATATAGATATAAATTGACAAAACCAGATGGCTTGATCAAACAAAACACTAGCAATGTAGTAGTACATGTGAACCCCACCCCCCCACCCCCAAAAAAAATCTCCATACAAAATTCACCCTGTTAACTCCTTTGACATCACAATGTTTAGATGGGATCATCACTCCAAAGTAATTTTGTCATACATCAAATCCTAATGGGCATAGGAGGGCAATGAACTCTCCAATGCTCGCTTTCAGCAGTGGAGGTTCACCGAGTTCAGTTCACCAAAGATGAATAAAAACCAAAAGCAGATGATCAAAGAACGTTACCCAATGAATCCACCAACATATTGTGTTTCTAGATATTCTGTTCATATTTAAGGGCTTCCATCTTCAAGCCACTAAAGACCAAGCCCCCAATTCCCTCCCAGCCTGCAAGTTTGTTCCAGTCAAGGAGATTTTTCCAGAATTCACCATATCATCCAACATCTGGTCTACTTGACCATCAAGTATGAGTGTGATATATTATTAGGGATAAAAAAAAATTGCTTTTGTATCTAAACAAAACACCTGCTTTGCAAAACCTTCAAGGCCATTTACCAAGCATACATTATTGAATGATTAATAATCCCTTATCCTAACATCACCTTCTCCACCAAGTGATGTGGAATTCTTTTCAAATCATTAAGTGCACTGAAACATGTTGAAACTAACCCTTCATGATATCAAATTTGAGAAAAGCAACATTTAGAGGAAAAGGTGAAAGATTATCTCCTGTTTTAAATGAGTACTGTTGTTTCTTCCATGACATCAATTTCATATGATACCTTCTCTATCAGTAAAATTCATTTAATATCTCTACTACTGAATACCAAAATGATGTTGAACAATAAGATTCCTGGACTGATTAGTAGATTTTCTACCACCACCTTTCTAGCAAGTTCGTCAATCTACTGGCCTTCAATTTCCAACCACACTAATTATTTCCATTTAGTAAATTGCCTATTTTCTGCACAACAACTAATATTATAATGTTGATTGAAACTTCTCTTTAGTCCTGCAATATTTCCACTTAGTAAATCAACTAAGTTTTGTACAGCAATAAGATATAACTTAATTGAATCCTTCCTTCAGTCCTGCCATGAATTAGATCTATTCTCCTTTCTTCATCCCATTGTGGACACACCTTAATAAAATCCATTAGAAACTTTGAATTTTATAAAGTTTTATGATTATTTGTTTTACAATTGCACCTAATCCATCATCTAAATTGCTAAACAGTACCAAGTACCACATAACTTAATAATGCTGATAAAAAACAAAATTCTGCCATGATAAACCATTACAATAGAATAATTGTTACAAGAAAAGCAATCACAAAGACCTGCTATATTAGGTGCAAATTACATTGCAAAGTTGCCCATATTATCTTTTCATGGTTTTGCTACTAGCTGACTGAAGTGCAAACACCAAGAAATCACCCAATCTGAATGCATGTCAAAGAAACAGGATAAAAACAACAAGACTTTAGGTTCAAATGGAAAAATGAGCAGAGCTATATATACCATAAAAAAAGATATGCTGATGTAGTTCATCAAAACAAATGCTGAAAAAAAAAAAGACAATAGTAATGAAAATTGCTAGCAAAAGATAGAGATTGCAATGAAAAAAAAAGTCAGAATTATATGAGATGGCGATTAAAAGGTTAAAATAAAATTTGTATTTTTCAATCTGAAAAAAAAAATCACTCTGAAATAGTTCAGTTATACTCCCGCCCTGTTGTGGTAGAAACACAGTTTTCTGCCCCTTCTACATTGACAAGGCACAGCCTAAAAAATGCCAATAAATAAAATTCTTCTTGGTGCAAGAGATTGTGTAACCACAACAATTTATGGATGTAAGAACTGCATCTACAGATTACAATACAAAGAAAGATACACATAATACATGTTCAAGTGCTGAAACAGACACAACCATCATTATAGACATCAATGAAAAACCTCATTACAGCTTTAGAAGGGAACATCTGCTAAGCCCTCCTCAGTCCTCTCCTCAGATTAGCAGTCCCACCACAAGAAATAAGAAGGGAAGTAGCGAGTTCTAACACACCCAAAACTCCTAATACACTTGATAAAAGAGAGAAAATAAAAGAGAAGCAATTAACTAAAACAAAGAAAAAGCTTCTCTCTATTTCTTAAAACTGCCACGGACACCGGGGCGTGGCTTAGAGGATTCGACGGCATGGTTTGCGTGCAAGTTGATGAGCTTCGCCTCGTCGAAAGGTGTCTTAGGGTGCTTAGCATCGTGGTGTATCTGCATAGATTTCACATCAGGAGCAGTAGTCTTACAGTGGGGGCATTCATATTTGGCGTGGCCACCCTTGCCGACCCCAGAACGGTCGGCAAGACCAGCTTTGCCGCCTCCTCTGTTTGTAGTGGCGGCGTCGACCTTCGCAGCAATCTCTTTGGCGGTGTGCTTCTTGGGCTTCGCCTTTCCGGTCATGGCTGGCTCTCTACCCTTGTATGACGATCGATCACCTGAAAACCCTAATCATAGATCAGAATCCAGAACCACGAACTCACTGAAATAACAGGGAACAAAACAACCAAAAATAAAGAAATCCACCGAACACCCAAACCAGCTTCAGACCATCAATCATCTGTTACTCCTCTCAATCCATGGGTCGGCCGGTTATCCATCAAAAATGAAATCTAAAACAAAAGATATAAGAAATAGGGAAAATACCGATATTTGCCGAAACTCAGAGGAGAGATATGAATGTTTTGAGCGGCAGTGAATCCGTCTAGTTCCGAGGTTGGAAGCCGGAACGCACAGGTAGTGCGATCGCGAATTCGAGATAACCACCACCACCAGCAGCTTCTCCGCCCCGCGGCGCTAACTCGTTAAAGCTTCTGGTTGGATGGATATGAGCTTAAAGAAGAGTCCTGAAGCGCCAATTAAGGGAAACGCAGGGGCAGAGAAGAGAAGGGACAACTCTAAGCTTTATTTATTATAAAGCGTCTAATCTCTTTAATATTTATCATGTCTGTAGTCTGTATGTGGTAGCCCATTGTTTTTAGAGAGAATGACCAATCAGCCCAGATCAGAATTTTAAAGCCCTAGAGTATTGGCGAATGCATCCTGACCGTGAATTGATGTCAAATTCACGGACAGGATGTGGTTTATAGGAGAGTAGGGGGTTGGAATTCACCGTTATTTTTATCCTGATGAGATTGATTCTTCTTCTTTTTTTTTTTCGAACGATACATGGTGAGATTGATTGATCATCCATTCATCCACGCAATGGTTTGGGGTTTTAGCTATTTGATATTTATCTTATCTCATGGTGGCAGTAGATTGATTGATTGATCATCCATTCATGTATCAATGTTGAACATGCGGTTGATGGTCGAACCATCGACTTGGTTAAAATTTGTTGGATCCAGGTGGTTGGGCCGTTGATCTGCATTATTCAGTCATTAAACCATGAATTGCAACTCATATCATATTGAAAACTTTCAAATGCCATAAGTTTGTATTTGGTTCTTTTACTGGGGTTATCTTTCTTTTATTTCGATTTTAGGTAATTTTTCGAGATCTATACTTTTTAAGGAATCAAAGGTGCCTTGTCCTACTTTTTTTTTTGTCAAAAATATGACTTTTGGGCCTTAAATTTCAATGTTTAGTTTTTTTATAAAAAATGACTCAGTGGCTGAACCGTTTTCCCTCCTAGTCATGGGTCAACAGTTCAACAGTCTGAGATGGATCAAACCGTGACACATCATCATGTGTGTGTATATGTATAAAAAATTATATAGAATAAATAATAGGGCCATTTATTAAAACACCCCCTATAGTTTGCAATCAAATCGATCTTCTATTAGATAACAGTGGAAAATGATAATTTTGACCCTAATGTTCATTTGAACAAATTTAATCAACAAAATAAAAATGAAAATATCATTTTTGCCCCTAGTAAGACACCATCAACCACTCTATTTGGTCAATTTTGTTTTCTCTACAAAAAAGTGTTAGAGCTACTCTTGGAATAAATAATCATGGGCCAATGCCCTTGAACATTTTCCACACTAAGTTTAGGTGATCATGTTACCATTTTCATATGGCAAGACAAACACTTCTTAGGGAAAGGTCAATTAGGTAAATAGGATGCAAACTATAGGAGGTGTTTTAGTAAAACAAAAACTGTAGGTTAGGTTTAAGTGAATCCATAAAACTGTAGGGAGTGTTCCGATAAATGACTCTAAAGAATATAATTATATAATATATTTATTTTAGGCCTAATTTATATTTTTATTTCAATTTCTGTTTTTCAATAAACAAAAAAGTTTTTTGACCAAAAATAGTGGGGGCAATGGTGCATTAGAACACATAGATCTCAAAAAATTACACTAAATCAAAAAATCTATACTACCTATAAAAGAGCAAATGTCCCTTCCTTATGGAATTTTCATTGGACATTTTCTACCCCTTTTCTAAGCAATATACAACGGGCATAAAGAGGGCATATATGTCCTTTACTCTCACTCCAAAAACTGCCCACTTATAACAGTTCAGAAACTGTCTACTTATAACTCTTCAAAAACTGCCCATCAATTGTAAATAGTTTTGTCTTAGAGATATTGTTACGCACAAACGCACGTACACGTTTACTAGAAAGAATAAAAAGAAGATCACACCAATGGAATAACCGAGTGCAAAGTTATAACTTTGTAACTTTGCATATTTAAATCAAAACGTGTAACCCATGACTTATTGACCAAGTCAAGTGGATCAACAATCAACCACCTAGGTCAAATGAGTTTTGAACAAGTTAACATTTTTTAGTTTGCTATTTGAGGTTGACCCAAATCAAAATTATGGTCAAGTGATGGTTTTAATGGTTCAGTCGACTAGGCGTCTGTTTGGCATCATTGCCATTGCTCCAGAAAATGGTGACACATTAGCACCACGTTGGAAAAAACAATGCTCTAAGAAATGCTTGTTTGTTTGGAACCGTTTTTCCATAAAAAACAGTGCTCCAAGCCACGCCTTGGAAATCGAGAAGACGTGGTTCGGAGTAACACCAAATTTGGCATTTCCTGGAGCTGCAGGTCATTGTTGCCAACAAGGACATGAGGTGACAGTGATAAGGACATGATGTAGCACTGGATAATAGGTACCAATGCTGAAAATGTTTCCTAGAGCATTGGTACCAAACAAAAAACGTTGTTGTTGCTTCAAGAAACGTCCTACCTAGCAGCAATTTTTTCAAACAAAAAAAGACACATTTTTGAGAAAACGGTGCTTCCAACCAACACATCAATAGCATCATTTTCTGATATGCAGCATCGATGCCAAACATATACTAGGTCAATGGCAATTTGCAAGCACTAGTCTTTAAGTATATGTTTGGCACCGATGCTGCTGATGTGTGGTTGGAAGCACCGTTTTCTCAGAAAATGGTGCCTTTATTTTTGTTTGGAATAGTTGCTGCCAGGTAGGACGTTTCCTAGAGCAACAACAACTTTTTCTGTTTGGTACCATTGCTCTAGGAAACGTTTTCAACACCAATACCCATTATCTAGTGCCACATCACTTCCCTATTGGCAGCAATGAGCTGCAACTCCAGGAAACGCCAAATTTGGCATTACTCCAAGCCATGGCTTCCCAATTTCCGAGGCGTGGCTTGGAGCACCGTTTTTTATGAGAAAATGATTCCAAACAAATTCCCATTTCCTGGAACACCATTTTTTCCAAAGTGGTGTCGTTGCTCTAGGAAATGGCAACGATGCCATACAGCCCCTAAGGGAGCCAATGATCAATCCAAACTCAACATGACCTGTCCTACTAATCCAAATAAGTTGGCAACAAGGGTGTAATCATGATTTACGCCGAGCCAGAGTTAACACCTATAATAAGGGCCAAGCTAGGCCCAAGCTTGGGCCTATGCACACCCAAGTTGGGTTGAGCCTAATTCTAAGCTTATGAATTTTATGTATAAAATTTTAAACATATATAATATTTTATATTATGTGCCTTATAATATGTGTATAAAATTAATTTTATATATTATGATATATTATATAAATTAGTTGGGACCCGTGCAATGCATTGGTTTTGTTAAAAGAAATTGTGCATAAGGATCCGTGTGATAATCAAGTTGGTCTAAGCCCAATACAAGCACTTTTTTTGGCTATATTTTTTATCACAATCCAAGTTGCACCATCTTTTATTAAATAATTTTAAAATTTTATTAATGTAATTTAAGTGAACAATAAATTAATTAAAATTAACTTTGATATTAATAATTTTTATTTTATTAAATTTTCTTAATTTACATTATTTTTAATGAAACTTACATAGTTTTGTAATTTTATTAATTTTAGTAAATATAGATTTACTAATATTATTAATTAATTATTATTATAGTTACATAAATTTATGTTAATATTTATTATACTTTAATTTATTTTAGTTTTTACTAATTATTAATTTATAATTTTATTTCTATTGGATCGGATTCAGATATACCCCAATTTCAAATCCAATGTGATCCATTTGCATCCTAGGATATGATGCATAAACTCATGTCCTCACACCTCACTATTAATGTTTCATTACAAAAATAGAGTAAAATGGATCTAAGTGTCCCATAGGGAATTGATTGTGCACGATCTGTAAGCTCTTAGCTGGAAGATGACTTGGACCTTAGTCTTGTAGCGAGCTGGACCAAGCTGCAAGATAGAGGATCGGAGAACTTGAGGTGGCTAACCCAACGAGGTCGCTCCGATGCTTAAATCAGTACTAGGTTGCGCGAGCTAAAAGTTTGTATGTTAGTAAGTCAGTGGGCAAATAATCGCGCGTACCTGAGTCTTGGGGGTTGATGCCCTTATATAGCTAGGATGTCATAGGTCTCTCAAAACGTTCCAGAATCTTCGGCCTATGATGTTGGGATTTGTTCCGTTTTGATAGGAGAGTAACGCATCAATTAATGAGGTTTACCGTTTCCCTCCGATTTGGGCGGGGAGAAGATAAGGCCTACGGTTACGCGACATGATCCCGGATAGTCCGGATTCCGCTGAGAAGCTTCTAGAATCGATTACGTGGCACTTCGGCATATACGGGTACCGAAGTGATTTTGGCTCCAAGGCGACCGAGCACCCGAGCTCCCCGATCTACTGGCATGGCACTTCACTCTGAGTTGTCGTCCTGCTGGTAGGCCACGTCCACATGTCCTTCACTTACTAGATCGGGCCAAACCACCCCTCATCGGGAATCAAATAAAAAATTATATAGCACCTAAATTTAGCCACAACAATTAAAAACAAAATGACTCACCATTCAGTCCCTCCTCTTCCCATGTGCCCCATCTGTAACCAAGCAAAACAATGCTCATAAAAAAGGGGAAAAACGAAATAGAAAAACAACCTACAAAACCACTACCAAACATACCAAATACCACATATCGTTGTGTTGATCCATATATTTTGAAAAGCTTGCTAAATGGCTTCAAATCTCCATCTTCACATGTCAGAACTTGACTGAATGGCTTTAAACCCAACCAAGAAAAGAATTAGGCCACGTTCGCTTTTTGGTAAGTTACTTACCCGGGTAAATGCAATTACCTGGGTAAGTTTTTCTTAGGAAACACATACCTAGGCAAGTGTATTTATCTATGTTCTTTTATTTTCTAATTAAAAAGGAAATGACCATTTTAACCATAAAAATTCATTACTAAAAGGGCATTTTTGCCCCATTCAAGTGTTGGAAACTTTCCCCCCAAGTGGGAAAGCTATTTACCCAGCTAGGATATGGGTATCACTTACCCAGAAAAATAAACTTTCCCTGTCCCTACATTAATCTGAAAAAAGAATAGGAGATTCTTGGTAAATGTGAGCCAAAATCCCATTGACCAACTTTTCCCCCTCTCAAACTTTAGATTGATACTTGTAGAAGCAAAGTAATTGAAGGTGCCAAGATATCCTCTTCAAGTTGTTTGG